GCCACGGCCAGACAAACCCCCCCCGGCCCCTGAGCTCCCCCCTGGAGCTGTGCTCTCCACGGGGAAGGTGACAGTGGTGGATCCAGGTTCTGGACACGAGGGTGGGTTGGTTTTTTTAAGCCCAAGACAGCCCCCGGGGGTACTTGCTCAGTCTAATTCCCACCCAGACCCGCAGGACAGGGTCTTCCCCCGCTCCCTCCCTGGCACAGGGCACCCAGCTGGCTGCTGCCGGCCCAGCGGTACGAAGCGGGGAAAGCTCCCAGAGCAGGTTTTTTTATTCACTTCATATTTATTTTTCACAAAGACTGTACAAAATTTCCTATAAAACTCTGGTGTGGGGATGGGCTATGACATTGATCCAAAAAATAATTCCCATGCAGTCCCACCAGTTTCATAACTTACAGGGAAACAGAGAAGCTACAGAGAGCTGCAAGCCCTGGAGTATTTACACCGAGGAGGGCAGGAGAGGGGACGAAGCGACACGGAGCAGAGGTATGTACAGTGCGGACAGATGGGCCCTGCGCCTCGCAGGAACGGCAGCAGCGCAGCAGGAAGGGGCCTGTGGTGCTGAGGCCGATATAGAATACGGGCTATTTACAGTATCTCACATATTAACAGCTTTACAAACCTGTCCAGGGAGGAGTTCTCAGGTATTAAAAAAAAAAAAAAAAAAAAGCACCAAGTGTCTGAAATCACACAGGCCTCCACGGGGGCTAGAATCTGAGGGCAGGCTGGCACCTGTGGCATCACCGGCTGATGTCCCTGCTAGAGTCCCACATTTTTGTGCTCGGCTCCATCTCCAGCATGTCAAAGAAGGGGTGCTTGAGGGCCTCGGCCAGGGTGATGCGCTTGGACGGCTCGTACTCCAGCATGCCCTCGATGAGGTCGAAGAGGCGGTGATGGTCTTCAGCCTCGGAGGTCAAGTATCGCTGGGGAGACAGAGGGGAGGGGTTAGGGACAAGGACACCGCAGCCTGTCCCATCACAGTACATTCGCTGGGCTGGTCGGTGGGCGAGGACGGGTTTGTTCAGACCCTCGCTCATCCTAGACCTGAGCTCTGGGCCACTTTGCCAAGCGTGGAACTGCCGAGTCTTCACCCCCCGCCCCACCCTTCCCAGGCATGTCCTGAGGTCTCCATGCCTTCCTCCTCAGATTAAGCTCAAGCTGCTGCCATCTTCCTAGTTTATGTCTGGGACAGCCAAGGCTCCTTCAGGAGGACACTGGCCTGACCCTGTCAGTGGGACAGCCAAGGCTTCTTCAGTCCTGTCAGTGGCCCAGCCTTGCCCACAGGAAGAATCTCCTCCAACTGGGGCAGGCACAAGACTCTGCAATGAGAAGAGGATAAAGCACCGGGCGCTCCTGCCCGCCCCACCTTACCCGCAGCGGTTTGCAGTTCTCCCTCACGTAGCGGCCAGCGGAAGTGTTCTCGTCCCAGTCCAGGCGGCCATGGTAGAAATATTTCTGTTTCCTGGCAGAGTAAGAGGTGGGAACAGGTTACACCATGCAGCAGTGTGCCAGCCCCAGCAGCACAGGCTGCTCAGGTCACCAGGCAGCTGCAGGAGAGCTGGCAACCCTGTGGTGCCCTGACAGCCTTGCTCACCTCGTCTTCCGGATCATCCGAGAAGGAATTGGCCCCAAGATCCTCTCCATCATGGCCAGGTGCTCCCGGTTGTCATGTGTCTGAGAGAGAGAAGCGTAAAGGGAAGGCATGGAACAGGTTTCAGTCGTTCTGCCTCCAGCCCTGGGTACTGCCCCGTTCAGAACCCCTTGCTGGGCAACACCTCGGTCATCTCTACGAGACTGCGGTGACGGAGGGAACGCCATCAGTCCCAGAGGCTGCTGGCTGTACTGGGAAGCAGCCAGCATCCCCTCTCATCGGTTGTGAGGGAGCCATACCGCACACAGTTCTCACCTGGAACAGGGTGAAACCCACATAATACTCAAAGATGATGCAGCCAATGCTCCACACATCACAGGGCTGGCTCCAGCCAAGCTCTAAAAAACAATGTTTTTTATTTAAAAGATCCAATTATGGCCTAAGATTCCAAATCCCTCTCCCTCACCCTTTTAAAAATAAACAATTCCCATTCCAGCTGGGCTCCCGATACACTGGTGGCAATCTACTGCCCCCCCGGCAGCAATGCCAAAACACCAACACGTTGTTGGCCCTCCCAGAAAACAGAGAGCTGAGCACGTTAAACGAAGCACTTCTCATCTCCCAGGGTAAACCCAGGACAGCTACTGACTGATGTGGAAGCAACTGACTGCACCCGTGCCCTCGAGGCAAACACCCGCCTCTGCAGAAAGATGAGCGGTACCCACCCAGTATGACCTCGGGGGCCCGGTAGTGCCTGGTAGAGACGATCGTGCTGTGATGCTCGTGATCAAACGTGGCGCTGCCGAAGTCCACCACTCTGATGGCCGTGCTCTTCACGCTCCGCTCGTCCCGCTTCTGCACGAGGGAGAATGGTGTCAGTCAAGAGTTTCGAGGTGCAGACGTCTAACACAGGGCAGCGCCATTACCTTTTCCAGGTTGTAGGAGAGTTCGTAGTCAGAGTTCACGAAGAGGATGTTCTCCGGCTTGAGGTCAGTGTGGGTGAGTTTATTGTCGTGCAGAACTGAGGAAGCAAACAAGAGTCACGGAACAGAACCGAAGCCACACCCATCCGAAGAGAGAACATCATTAACTCCGTTTGCTCATACTGGCACCAGTTTATCCCAGTTAGAACTGGGTGTGAGCAGTCAGGCTGGTTCGGGCCAAGACGCTTCATCAGAAGCACAAAGATTTATTGTATCCCTCGCCAGAACATGCAGGGGGGTGGAAGAGCAGTGAACACTCACATTTCACGGCCTGGCACACCTGGAAGGCCATGTGCCGGACTTGGTGGATGGGGTAAGGCAGGTAGTTGTTGTCCTTCAGGAAATCGAAGGTGCTGAGCCCCAGCAGTTCGAAGGAGATGCACATGTGGCCATGGTAGTCAAACCAGTCAAACATCCTGACGCAAAGACTGAGAGAAAAATTCTGATTCAGGAGAGATCCAAACGCACCGCCCAGCTATGTTATCCCTGTGCCAGGCTCCTCCTTTCCTCGCTCTGCCTGTATCCCACAGCAAGAAGCCTGCCTCCAAAAACCAGCCACAGCTGAATTCTGTCACACAACGAGCGCGACTCTCTCATCCCACCTGAGCCGTGCTAAGGTGACACTCGCCCTTCTGTTTTAACACCAAGAGCACACTCACTTTGTGTTCTCAGGATCCTTCTCGTTGATTTTCTCCAGCACATTAATTTCCAGTCGAGCAGCCTCTTTGTACTTCTCTACGTTTTTAATGATTTTGAGAGCAACACGTGCACCACCCCTGGGGGAGAAGCAGGAGGAAAGCACAAGGTCACCCTGAGCTGGGTCAGAGCACCTGTGCCTGCAGAAAGCAGTTTCTGAGCCAGCCTCATCCCGTGGTGTGCAGCACAGCCTCCCACCACCAAAACCAAGAGACTCGTTTTCACTCCCAGGCTCCCACGTTAAGCACGACAGGCTCTGTCGCTAGCTGCGGTCTCCCCTTTTCCCTCCCTGTCCCAGGAGCAGACGTACCTCCGGTGATCGATGCACTGCACCACTCTGCCGAACGTGCCTTCGCCTAGGGTGCTAATAATCTCATCTGGGAGGGAGAGAAGGAGAGGGAGGCAATGAAAGGGTGAGCAGGACCTGCGTGCAGCGCGTACATGAGGCAGAGGAGAATGCATTGCAACACCTAACCTGACACAGCTCGAGAGGCCGGAGCAGCGGAAGGCTGACACCGGCTGCACAAGGCAACTGCCCTAGTTCCCTGGCACTTCAGTAACAATACAAAATATAAACGTAGCTTTAACAAAAGGGGAAGGAAAAGGAGAGGGTTTCTCTTTAGTAAACAATGAAAATAAAACGAAACAGAAAGATAAGACAGATCTGCGACTGCGATGGGAGCTTAACTAGAGAGCTAAATTATGTTACGATTTGGCTGTACATCTTTCTTGTAGCCAGTCGCCGACGCGATAGATCAGATGCCCCTCGTCGTCGTCCTCCACACTCTTGGCCCTTCTGCTGCTCTGTCGACTCCGCTGCTGGCCCAGGCAGACCGGGAATTCATCATTCACCAATCAGATTTTCAAACCAGCGCAGCAGCCAGCGTCACGCATTGGTTGGTTTGGAAATTCACATGGTTGTTTGAGGAGGGGTTGCAGGAGGAGTTTCCCAGCCAATTCATACGGCACAGAGGAATATATAACGATAGGGATATTGCAAGGGAACATGTCAAGATACAACACACTAGCTCAGAAAAGAAAAAAACAGTTTTGCTTTTCGTTGTAGCAAAAAAAAAAAAGAAAAAAAAGAAAAAAAAGAACCTACAAACAGCCCCACCCAAACCAGCGTGAGAGCAGAGACGTGAGAACGAGGGCTAGCAGAGGGGCGGTGGAAGGGGCCTTCAGGTCCTGGTAACGCCAGAGGGCACGCCAAGCACAGCTCTGCTGCAGGGCGCTCAGCGGCCGCGGGGACAGGCTCCCTTGGGCCCTTTAAGGCGGCAGAAGGCAGGTGCCGGGAGGTCCTGCGCAAGGGCCGGGCTGCCCCGCACGGTCGCTCCATCTCCCCGTCCAACAACCGCCCACATCGCTTCCCCCAGCCCCAACACTCAGGAAAAGAGGAATTCAGAGATTTCAGAAGCAGCTCTTGGTACAACGATCCATCCAAAACCAGAGAGAATTTATGAGTGACTGCCTGGGGGAAGATGTGACACTTCTTCCTAAACCCGCCCCCAAAGAAGCTGATCCTGGAAAGACTGACTTCCAGGAGAGAAGCAGAGGCCCAACAGGGAACAGGGACAGCCTAGGATGAGGCAGAGAAGAAGTTTATGCCAGAGAAGAGAAAATTCCTGCCTTCAGTTCCGCAGATAAGTATCCCCACACCTGGGAGTAACCAGCCAGCAGGCTCAGGACCTGGATCCAGCCCCCAACCCCAGCCCTGGACACATAACAGAGCAGACACCACCGAGAGCTCCACACGCGGAGCAGAGAACGTGTCTGGGGCTGACAGAAGTGGAAGGTGAACAGCAGAACAGACGAGAAGAGAAAGCCTTGGGAAGAGCCTGTGATGGTTGCTGCCTCTGCCTGACCAGTCCACAAGCTCTGCTCCTCTGCAAAGCCCCTCGCACGACAGCCCACGTCAGCTGGGCCCACCCAGAAGGACCCCGCTCTGACGCAGGGGGGGCTTCCTGCCGCAGAACACAGCCCCCAGCAGGGACCACGCTGCCTGTCGCAGGCAGACCGAGCTCTCTGGGACAAGGACCAGCTGAGCGCTTGCTGTACAAACCTCACACAAAAGACTGCTTTGGCTGGCGTTCCTGGACAGCTCTTAACGAGCGCCACCGAACAAAAGCAGCGCTCTGCAGGGATAAAGGAGCTGCAGCACCACCCCGGGGACACGCTGGCCTCACCAGGCTCGCCTGTCCTCCTCCCACCTCTGGGTGGGCAACACTACGAGAGGGTCTGAGCCGCCTGTGCCCAGCTGGCGCAGGGAAGCTGCCACCAAGGCGCGTCGGGAGGGTGGACAGGAACTCCTGCCTGCAAAGACTTTCTACACATTTCTCAAGCTGAGTCTGAGAGCGCGTTAGAAAGTGAGTTTTCTACTTACCCAGCTCGCCACCTGGGAGAGAAAGGTTACAGGGGAGGCCCAGCACAGCACGATACTCACCGATGAGGAGCGACTAAAGGACCGGCTGCGGCGCCGCCTCCGCCTGTGCTTACGCCGGCTGCTTTTGCAGCTCCGGTAGCTGCCCTCACGGTCCCGGGAGCGTCGGTACTCGTAGGAATGACGGTATTCGGGTTCATAGTAGGCTTCTCCTCGCTCGCGGCTGTAATCGTTCCGCCGGTAGCTGTCACAGTAACGCCGGTCGTAGGCCCTCCTGTCTGCCGAGTGGTCATCGTAGCTAGGGAGGGGAAGCACGCCAAGAGGATTTGATTATGAACGCTCCCCAGGAAGTTACAGCTTAAAGCACACGAGAGAACAGGGCCTGGGCCGCCCCAAAGCTGGGCTGACCACAGCTGCCTGCAGCTGAGCAGGACAAACCCGCAGGGTTCCAGGTCCAGCCTCGTCTCTGCAGACTCACCTCCTGGAGCGAACGTGGTAACTGTCTTCCCGACG